TAAAAATGAAGACATTTTTTTTTTTTTTTTTTTTTTCAAGGAAGAAAAAAAAAACAATGGTACTTTGTTAAATAATTACTGTAAAAGCACTTTATTATTTATTACTATGTCAACAACAAAACTCATTTACCGAGCAAGAGAGTTATTTCACGCTCAAGTTGTCGTGAGTTTATAATTATACGTTGGGGAAGCCAACAACACAAATATTAAACAGCACGCACTCTCACTCAATGTTACGTATATGTATTATACTAAACTTTTGTTAAAAAAACTATTTTGACGGATGAATCTGACCGAAACAAGCGATTGTATGTTACTCGCGCGACAAATTGTAAAAATTGATTTAAAAACGTTATTCATATGTAAATATGTTACACACTATATGGCAATAGAAATCTTTAAATTGTAAAAATGTCGAGCCGCGTCCTTTACTTTCATGATGATGCCGTCGTGGTGGTAGGTGCCCTCTTGGAGGTGAAATCGTGCATGCGGCGTAGTCGTTTCTTGAGCTCGGTCGGGAACTTGTCGTAACACTTTTTGCAAGCGGGCCGCAGATCGAATTCGAAAAATTTCGTCTTCTGGTTCATCTTTTGGTCGCAGAAGGCACAGGCAAAGTGGTGGACGCACCAGGCCTTGTTCAACGCGGTGAAAACTAAAAAAAAAAAAAAAACCCCAATCAAACCTATACACATAAGGACGAAAAAAAGGGAAAAAAAGAAATGATTAAACTTACCATCCCCAGCGATGACCTGATTGCACACGTAACAAAGATTCCCAAACAACTGGTGGTAGTGAGTCTCGCAGTAGGCGAGGCCCTTTTTCTCGTAATGCCGATGCCCCAAGAAGGGCCTTTCACACTTGGCGCAGACGAAATGCTCCACGTGCCAGTGTTTTCCAAGAGCAGTGACCACCCGCTCCTCGATCGGTCGACGACAAGCTCCGCAGATCGGTATGCCCATCTTGTCGTGGCACCTCAGGCAATACAGCTCGTTCTGTCAAACAGGAATCAAGATACATCGAGACATATTTTAATTTATGGATGCGCGTGTGGTGTTTAGCCAGTACCAATTCGTTGGCCGCGTATCCGGCTCTCGAGCGGACTTCCCTCGCGTCGGAGTTGAGCTCGACCCCGCAGGTGGTGCAACTGAAGTGGTAAGGATGGTAGACCTCGTTGCGGAACCGCAGCGGTTTGTCGTCGATGACGCCACTGAAAACCACACAATGTTTGAATATATTTTCTTTGGTGAGTAAAAAAAAAAAAAAAAAAAAAAAAAAAAAATTTCTTTGCAGTCAAGAGTTTTTGGAAAATTTTTTTAAAAACTACTTTTAATATCAAACAGCGACAAACATGCAAACAGGTTTATTTTTAAATTAAGTGCCTGCTGAGAAATACTTCTGTTATAAACAGTAACTTAAATTTCATTAAAATTTATTTACGTTACTTACATACGTGAAGGGAAAGCTTCCTTAATATTTTCTGCACTATGTTTATCTCCACATGCACACTTAACTCACTTTTATTTACAACACTATATGCTACATGCTGCAGTTTATGGTAAAAATACTAATCGATACCATAATTCCGATAAAATTGCGGAATCAATGAGAAGACTCACGTTTTTTTTGTTAACGAATTTCTTCTCGATATTCAAAACTACGGTTACACTGCAGTACCAATACAAACAAGAGAATTGTTTTTGTTGTAGTATCGCAAAGATAGAATACTTGAACAGTTCGTCGCAAATGTTTGTGGATTGGCGATTGAAGTAAGATTCGATGAGCCACTGTAACAAAATTCAATTTTAAATCGAAGCCCTTTAAATAGTACAAAGGTGTACTTGTGTTACATAGTAAAAATGATTTTTTATTATAAAACGACAAAACTTACGGATTCCCCTTCTTAATGTAGTCTTGGGTTGACCATAGATGCACTGTACCGTCTATACTAGCACTAGCCAAATATTCACCATCTGAGCTCCAATCTAAGCTCATAACAGAGTCTTGGTGACCCTTTAATTCCGTTAAAACTTCATTTGTCGCCAAGTCCCATATGGATATGCTCTTATCATCACCTAAGAGATACAAGAAACGAGTCATAATACATTTAAAAACTTAAATTGTAAGAATATGCCTCACCAGAAGAAGCCAAGTATTTTCCATCAGGACTAAAGGCAAGACTATAAATCGACGATCGAGCACCAGTGTAAACTCTAAGCAAATTTCCATCGTCTTTGTTCCAAAGCCTAACAGTTTTGTCAGCAGAACCCGTCGCCAAATAATTCGTGTTTGGATGAAATCTCACGCACTGAAACAATAATTTTCCCTTAATTTTAACAGCACAGAAATTTCTTTGCGTCTTTTTTTTTGTTTTTTGTTTTGAAGCTCACGTTAACATCCATAAAATGACCAGCATATATCCTAAGTGGAAACGTTCTATCTAACGTCCAAAGTTTAGCTGTTCTGTCGTGAGAGCCAGTCGCTATGTACAAATTAAATACACTAGTGTCCATACACCAAATCGGATAATTATGGCCGCTAAAAACAAATGATTTTTTAGTAGTAACAAGTGCCGTACTTTGTAAAATTTATTAATTACCTGTAGACAGCTGCGCAAGTATAATCCTCGAGTCTCCAAGCTCTCATGTCTTTATCACTGGACACTGAAAGCAGGACTTCGGGCTCAGGAATAAATCTCATGTCATGAACAACGTCGGAATGACCTCTGAGTATAATAGCTCCTGCTTCATCTCTAAAAACAACAGAGTAGAGTAAAGCACGTTTTTAGCATATATTAAAGCTTTGATTAATAGTTAAAAACTCACATATCGCCATCATCTAAGTATTCGACACTAGACACAGGATCGCAGGCAAGGGGAATACTAGGAATCCTCACGTTAGGCCTTAAAAGTACTGTATCACCGATCCCCCAGAGCCTAATTTCCGATGTACTAAAGCCCACAGCCATTTTATCCATGCTTGGTGTAATTATACCAGCGCTCGCACTTTTGAAATACGATTTTTTTGTATTAGGAGTCGAAGTAAATTATTTTTAAATCATTCAAGATAGCTTTTCACCAGCACAGCTTACTTTTCAATAGCGTTATTTATAGTGAATATCCGAAGAGGCTGATGGGCACTGTTCTGTATCGATCGAATGGCTTCTTGAAGTTCACGCATATCCCGATCAACACTGGTCCCGCCAGGCTGCTCTACGTGACCATTGATCGTGACATCGGCCTTTTTCTCATTCTCTTCTTCGCTTTCATCTATTACCGAATACAAATCGGACACGCTTTTAATTACCGTTATGTTCGTGTTTATCACCTAAAAATCATCAATCATTGAAAAGCTTGTTATTTCTCGAGTATTATTTTGTAACGTACCTGCATTAGAACGACATGGCCGTGTTTCGAGAGAAATTTTTGAAGAACTATGTGCGCCTCATCAGATAGATTGACTTTGTATTTTCGCGACCTGAAATTCTTAATGTAGGGACGCAATTCGATGTCCTGTATGGAAAAAACAGTGGAAAGCTCTTCTAAAAAATCTCGCTCCTTATCCAACGTAAAATCTGCTTGATAATTTTTCAAAAATTGACCAGCTGCTAGTCTATTCCCAGCGTGTAGAATTTCCAAATATAGATGACAAAACACTGGGAATAGAATGTTTTTTAGTTCCACTTTTGTTTTTTCATCCGACAATCCAGCAATACACTGTCTCAACCTAAAACATTGAGAATCGTTTAGTCATTGGTTTTTTCTCACCACTATTTAACGGTATTGAAAAAAAATGCATACTTCTGATAAGCTTGATCCAACGCAGTGATGTCGTTTGAAATTGCGCTAAAAACTATGGAATTGTCCCTAGACGTGCCGCACTCGGCTGTTACGCTTAGCGTCATTTCTTCGCTACTCCGACAATTGGCTTTTTCAGGTTTTTTAAAAATATCCAGATCCTGAAAAACATAAGTTTGTCCATTTATAAAAATCAAAAATAATAAAAAATGTCATGTGAACAATTTTAAAGAAAACATCATCGTCGACAAGCATCGCACACGCGACAGATTTGGAGGTGAATCGGCATTGACATCTCGATTAAAAATAATCTCCAAGTGATATAAATCAATTCGCGCTTAACTGCACTTATCAGTTTGAGAGTCAAAAAAAAAAAAAAAAAAAAAAATGTAAATATACATTCACGATTTTATTCATTTCAAAACACACACACCAAATTAATATAAAACCGATGATTTAGCTACAAAAAATCAACACAATGTTATATTATAATTTGAGTAAAAAAAAGACAATAAAGCGATAAAAACCCGGGAGCTAATAAACAAACGGTTGAGGTTAGGGCCGCACGTTACAGACCCAACAGGCGGTCAAAGCCGACGACGAGGCGCACGAAATCCGGCGAGAAAAACAACAATAATGTAAATGAAAGATATCGAAAACAGAAGAGCCACTCGTACGTTTGATAAAGCAAAGGCTCGGCTAGCGTAGAAGCAAAAAAAAAAAAAGATGAGAAAATAATTGACGATCCTCGACCTGGTAGCGGCGACGCTTCAGGTAGGACTCGACGGTCGCGTTGATGACGTCGAGCTTGTTGGTGCGTTTCATCTTCATCTGCGGGTCAGCAGGTCAGCAGCAGGAGGTGCTTCCTAGGGAGGGCATCGGCTCCTGTACTTTGAACGTATGATTATCAACGGAGATTTTGTTGTTCATTGAGATGATCAGCGTCAGTAGGAGCACGGTTTTGGGGTTGAACCCCATCGGGGGTGTCGGAGGGACACCGCATGAACTTTATTTAACGAACACCCTTCGCGCGCTGAAACCTCTTATGTTATAATTTTTTTTAAAAACATTTACAACGAGCAATGATCGCATTTAACCAAAGGTCACTCCACTCCGAACTCTCGCAGCGCAGCAACTGAAGATGAGAGAGCTCAGAGAGTGAGAGCCTCCTCCTCCTCCTCTCCTCTTTGCCCCTGCCCCTTTTCTGTGAGAAGTCGACGACCCGCGCTCTTTTAAAACTCACATTTGCAAACGATTTTACATATTAAAATATACAATGGCGAATAAATAAAGTAGTTGAAAATGAAAATTCATGAAAAATTTCCATACTCCGTGTGATATTGGTAAATGAAAAAACTAAAAACACGGCGACATTTGAAGGGGGGGCGGGGCGCATGTTAAAAGAAAAGTGGAAAGGGAAAACAGCTGATTTAAGCAACAAATGTGCAGTGTGTGGTGTGTGTGACGTCATTTGACGTCAGAAATGTTCTGCTATAGTGTTTATGTTTTTTTCGCAGCTGGAAAGCTGAGGATGTTCTCTCTCCGTTCGTAATTCGATTTTTTGATCATCATAATTCTTAAAAATTCCTAAAAAATTCGCGCGTAAAGTTCAATTAATAAACAAAATATTTAGTGGTTGTAGAAGGGAAAGGCTTTCTTGTGTATGTTGGCATCGTAGAAATGAGTGACGAGGTCGCGACGACTTTCTCCTGCTCCAGAAAAAGCAGTATTCGGAGCGTTTCGTCTAGCGAACGGCAAGGTACCACTGTTGTATATAATCTAATAATTATTCAGGTTACGCCAGTGTTTATGATCATTACTTTTACCACTAGGCGTTCACACGATGGCGTGCCCCACGAGAACGCAAGGCGACGGTATGGAAAATACTTTGGACACCTGTGCAGACAATAATACAGCCAAGGTTAACGAAAAGCCCATCAAGATAAGATTGGGAGAAGCTTTGATCTATCATCCCACGAATTTGAAGCAGCAGATTTCGACGGCCCCAATGGCGCCAACGGGACAAATTGTCAATTTAGTTCCCAACAAAACGTTGACCCAAATCAAAAGGGACAAGCACATTCTTCATACTTTGAAATCGAAGGAGCCTAAATTCGTTCCCTACGAGCCTTACAAAGCTGCTGTCAATCCAATTGTTCCTTTTGCAAAGAAGAAGAAGAAAGTTTCGTCGCGGAACAATTTGGATATCAACGTCATGGTGTCACAGCTGGCTCAACTGAAGACTGAAGAAGTAAAGAAGAGCGTTTCAAGTGACAATAATACCACTGCCTGTGAGATCGAAGATGTCATGAAAAAACAGTACGAGGCAGAGATCCAAAAGTTGAAGGAAGAAAATACTCAGTTGGAAAATCAATTGAAGTTTCAAGCTCAGGTATTTACGTCTGTTAATTTTTTTTTTCCACAGCATAATTTCAATTTTTCAAAAACTGTACTTTCTTTCAGGTGAATGGGGAGTTGAAAAATTTGTTGGTCGCTGCAGTTGGTGAAGATTTGGAAACAAGGGTTCACTTACTGACAGAGGACAAACTGCAGCTGTCTAGAGCTCTTTTGAATTCAGCTAAGCATCTCAACACTCATCAAGAACAAACTGAATGGTTGGCTGGACAGTGTGAAGTTTGGAGGAGCAAATTTTTAGCTAGCAGGTATGCTTGAAAAACAAATTTTTACTACCATAGTTATTTTTTTTTTATTTATTACCACTAGCCTAATGGTGGAAGAACTTGCCAAATGGAAAGCAGCGTTGTGCCAAAGAACGACAGACCTTCAGGAATCGATAAAAAGACTCTTGGAAGAGCGCAGTAAAGTTAGAGACACTTCTCTAAAAACGTACAGGTACAACCATGAATATTATTTTGTAATTATAACACTTGCATTACAAAAACAACTGAAATCATGTGTATATTTTAGGACTTTGAGCATTCTTAGAGAAAATTTTGACCCAGTAGGAGCAGCCAGACCTCACGAGCTTCCCAGTACAAATATTATTGATCTTTCTGAAGGCTGTTGCCAATTGTCCGAACTTTTGAAAACTCACTTACTCAGTGGCATGGACAAAGTCGATCTTCGCAGGGAAATCAACATAACTGGCCTCGAAATGAAAACAATGGCTGAAAAGAACGCTGAACAGGTTTGTGGAATGTAAAAAAAAAAAGTAACGTCACATTGTAAAAATATGCTCTTTATTACACATAGCCTCTGTTTTCATAAAAGTTCCACTTGTCAACACAGAAATATATATATATCATTTCTTTGTAATATGCATTATTTGGGTTTGCAATCGTCAAATTACACATGTAAAATATCACTTTAAAATTCATTATCTTAATTCTTAAACGTTCAATCATTTTTGTACGCTATTACTTACATTTTGCATTAAAAAAAAAAAAATACACTTAATAGCTAATTCTTGGTCTCATGCATATTTCACAGCTACTGATGAGCCCAAACTTGTTATTATCGGGCAGACAAGACGTGGCCTGCAGTGCGGTCATGGGTGCCGCAGTAGCAGTAGGTGGACCCAGTATATTCCTGCCGTCAACTTTAGGATCGTCCTATGCTTGCTGTCCACACTGCAGTGGTGATGTCAAGCAAGTCTGACAGAGAAGAAGTCGTCGACGAGGCGCCGTTGTACGTTCGATAAAAGACTGAGAGTGAATGTTTTCTTGTACATTTCAAGCAATATTGTCATGCGGTAAGTAATGCCTTCTTTCGGCAAAATGGTGATCGATGAACAATATTCATCGCAAATCGTTGCGTGCGCGTAATTGTACAAAATTATTGTCAGTTGTTGTTTCAAAGTCTGTATCTACAGACGGACGTAGTACAAAAGTACTTTTTACACGGTGAAACTTTCCATCTGCTAGTATTGAGTGTCGCGATCGATGCATCTGACCAATGAAAGTGATGTTTTAACGCGATATCCACTTTAACTGCGTTAAAACCTTTCCAATTCCTCGATATAAATCTATTTTTCACCTGATTGAACGAGTCAGGTTTTTAATAAAATTTCCATACAACCAGCAGACTTCCTTCGAAAATTGTAAATTGCTAAAATCTAGTTTGAGGTTTTATAATTGTACATAAAATAAAATCAAGCGCTGGAAATCGCTTTAACGAAAAAAAAAAAAAAAAAACCAATAAATAAATAAAAACTCTGTCCTTTCTGTTTCTTTCGACACTCTCACAACACATCGATAAAAGAAAAAAAAAAAAACCTTCAACAGGAGCTCAAAGGGAAACGAAGCTCTCCGAGAGGATGTTGGCAGGTAGCGCTGTGTAAAGTTCGGTAGTCGTTGTTTGCTGCGATAAAGTCGAGGAGCCTCTCTCGGAATAGAAATCCTCCTGAAAAAAAAGAGGTACATGTAGCTTCTTTTTTTTCTTTTACCAATCATCATGGACTAGTTTTAAATAAAATCCCCCCATACTTCATCGTCGAGTACGAGCGACTTTGGGCAAGAACGGATTCTATGACTAGACAGTCGGATCACGGTGTGCTCGGCAAAAGCGTCCCTGAGCACGACGTCGAGGATCTCGCCCCTATCGTCCGCCACGTCGGCCTGTGGCTCCTCCACTATGACGATCTGTCGATTCCACCGATTATTTAAAAGGAATGTGTGGTAAAAAAAAAAAAATAAATAAATAAATACCTTTGTGCTCTCGTTGAGCAAGGCGCGGGCCAAGAAAATCAAGATTCTCTCGTAAACCGTGAAAAGATGCCTAGAATCGCTGACCAGTTTCTCCGGCAGCCTGGACACCTTCTCCCACAAGTAGACCCTCTGCAGGACCCTCATGATCGCCTGGTCGGCCATTTTCTCCGAGGGATCGAGATTGTGTCTGTGAGAATTATAAACGGAAATTCAGTACAGCTTAATTCTGGAGAAGATGAGTATAAAATACCTTATGGTTCCGTTGAAGAGCGAGGGATCGCCGGGGACGAAGCAAATGCAGCGCCTCAACATGTCGAGCGGCACCTGGGAGATGCTCGTGCCTCCGATGAAAATTTCACCGGCCGGCAGCTCCATGAACCGAAACAGCGCCGAGACAAAGGCCATCTTCACGTCCGCCTGTACCGAGACGACGGCTGGAAAAAAAAAAAAAAAAAAAAAAAAAAAAAAGAATTCTAACAACAAAGACAGCAAAATGCAGTGCTCGGTTCGTCACGTACCAAGTTTTTCGGCCGAGGCTAAGCTGAACGAAAGGGGCTTCCTGCAGGAGTCCTCCCGGTCGTAGAAGAGGACGTTCCTAAACTCCAAGCTGCCGTCGGTCGGCCACATGCTCGACAACCTGGCCGTGCCCTCTCGCTCCTTTGGTATGTTTTTCATGTAGTGGTCGACGCTGTTGAGAGCCATGAGGCTCGTGTAGACGCTGTTTATGGCGCTCGCGGCGTGCACGGAGCTCAGGGTCAACTGGAGCGTGCAAAAATACGCGAGACCGAATCGCGACAGGCCATTCGAATCCGTGTAAAGCACCTCGCTCATCAATATCACCGCACTCAGGACTAGAACTATAACGAAGAGTTTGTGGTTCATTATATAAACGAGCCTCAATTTTTTACGTATATATAATGTGGTTATACGTACTCGATAGTAATTTTAATCTGAACTCGAGCCACAATCTCGTAGCGTACAGCATAAAGTCGTAAGTCGAGTTCTCGTTGAAAAGCTTGTAATACCTGCAAAGGAAGAAACAATTAATCAACGGTCGAGTTAGTTTGGGGTGGGGGTGAATGTAACGCATATACTTTTTGGTAAAATCTTTTTCTTTGGAGAACGCTTGAATGGTGGCACGACCTTGGACTGTATTCCCAATGTGGTTCAAGACTAGCGTGGCCGAGGTGACTTTCAACTCGTGTAGGCTCAATACGGCTCCCCTGAAACGCGGTCAAGGTCAAGTGGTTGGAGAAAAAAGAAGGAAAAATAAATGTCAATCGCTCCCCTACCTCACGTATACACTGAACATGACGGATATGACGACAAAGGCCAAGGCCGGCAGGAGCAGCCATGGCGACAAATACCACAGTATTGCCAAGCTAAAGCAGCTGATGCCGCAGTTCATCAGAACCGTTATTATTGCCCGAGGTAGGACCAAATCGACTGTGGACAAACAAGTGTTTTTTTTTTTAACTATCATATTATGCGTGATGCGTGTGTATACAAGACCCACCCTCCTGCAGGTTGAGACTGCAGATGTTGAGCAGCAGAGAAATCGTGGCCGTGCTGAATATCGAAATTTGCGCTCTGACTAGACTTTCGACCCAGTAATCGTGTAACTTTGTCGCCGCCGCTGTGACCGTCTGAAAGTACCAGAAAAAAAAAAATAAATAAAATAAATAAAAACCACATGATCAACACAGCCATACGCCGCGCACCTTGTTGTAAGCAAACGTCAGAATGACTCCGCACACGATCATGAAGCCAACCTGCATGGCGAGCACCCCACTCGCCGATTTCACGTCGTCCTCGTTCATCTGAAAGGATGGGAAAGTCGCAATGAACCGCTGCGAGTAATTGAGAATCCATAAGTGAACAAGTCGCGTACCTTGCCCACGTGGACGATGCAAACCGGAGCCACGGCTATGGAGAAGGCGTAGAGGGCCACGAGGAGGGCCAAGAGGGCGCAGACGGCGAAGCCACCCGTGTACTCGAGATACACGCCCAAGCCGGTCTTGGGCTTGGCTTCGCTGAAGCTGTGCAGCACCGGGAACTCCAAGCTCCTGCCGACGAGCAACTGGTCCTCCAAGTGCGCAGTGCCCTCCAGACCAAAGCTACTGCCGTTGTCCGTTCTAGGCGACGAGGGGGTCAACCTCGCGGTGAGCTCCTCGCTCCTGAGCCTCAAACTGGCCATCCTCGACTGCAGCCTCGCCGACTTGGCGTACCCGGGACTCGACTGCAACAACTCCCTGTGGCTACCGCTCTCGACGATCCTACCCTCGTGCATGACGTAAACGACGCTACACCTGCTCAACAGCTCTATCCTGTCGCTGGCCAAGACCACCGTCTTCCCGGCGAGCTGCCGCTGGAGCACCGCGTCCAGGATCTCGAGGCACTCCCGGTGCCCGACGCTCGCCAAGGGCTCGTCCAGCAAGTTGATGTCCCGCTGGGCGTAGAGGACTCGCGCCAGGCCGATCTTTTGCCGCTGGGCCGGGCCAAACTCCGCGGCTCCGAGGTCCGTGTCGTCGAGGGCCGGCAGCCCGGCGATCTCGCTGTGCAGCTGGGTCGAGCGCATCACCCGGTAGTAGCGGCTCGAGTCGTACGGCTCGCCGAAGAGGACGTTCTCGCGCACGGTGTCGTCCATCAGCCAGGGCTCGGCGGGCACGTACGAGCAGGTGCCGTCGAGGGCGACGGTGCCACCGACGCACTGCAGCTGCCCGAGGATGCTCAGGAGGAAGGACGTCTTACCGGAGTCTTGGGGCCCGTAGATACCCACGACCTTGCCCTTGGCCACGTAGAAGTCGATCTCCGAGAGGCCGCCCAACACCGGGCCCGGGAAACTCTGCAGCTCCACCGAGTGGCTGGCCTTGTTGGTGCTGCCGCCGTCCACGTAGAAACTGTCAGAGGTATTTATACAATTGTCACTTAGCTTCCATCACGATCCAACTTTTTTTTATCTGGTTATACTCACCGCGAGGAGCGTTTGGCGGCGTTGGCGCTCTTTGGTCGGTTCTTACTGGACCAGCTGAAGTGCCCGTTGTTGATGATGATCGCAAAGTTCCGGTCGATCGGCTTGTCCAGGAAACGATCGGCCTCCTGCAGTATGAGGATCGACTGCAAATAACGCAAAGGGATGGATGAGCATGTGGCGGGTGAAAACGCGCAAAAGCAATTTTGTATAATATATGTATAGGTGACCTTGAGCTTGTTGAGAAAAGCCAGGCCCCGTGAGATGCTGCTCAGCGCCATCCAGCTCGTGCGGACGCATTGCTTGAGGTTCACGAGGAACAGAACAAGGACCGGCACGTACCGGACGAACGAGATCTGCTGCCCAAAGTGCAGGGTGAAGAGGGTGATGGTGGCCACGGTGGCGACCGGGATCATGTGCACCATGGAGAGACCGCAGCCCTCGCTGAAACCTCCGAATTGCATCTCGTCGAGCTCCCGGCTTCTTATGTCTGGAAAAAACAACCAAACGACACTTGTTGAGCTTCTCACACATATGTGAACAATTCATCGGTATACGTACTTTTAATTTTATCCTGAAAGTGCCGATCCCAGAGGGCTATCTTAGCCAACTGAATGTTGCTGATGAGCTCCTCGACGAGGGACATCCTTCGCAACGAGTACTCGATCGCCCGCGCGGCAAAGGCCTTCGTACAATAGGCCACGATTACCTGAAAAAAAGAAAATCGATCTCTCTCCATACCTTCAATTTTTGTCCATGGGAAATAATGTTACGGCGAAAAAGTGTATTTGACGTACCAGGGTGGAGTAAAACAGAAGAATGACGAGGATGCCGGACAGGGCCCACGTGCCAAGGGTCAGCCAAGCGAAGGCGGCGATGATGACGAGTACCGTGGGACCGCTCAGGGCGACCGGTCCCAGGCCGATCAGCTCGTGGAGGATCTCGCTGTCTGGAACAAAGTAGGTGAGGGTCTGAAACAACAAAGCCCAGACACTCCTGATACGTCCGATTACTCGCAACGCCCGGATGACGCGTGCACTCAATTTGTGATCTATACGTATATGTGTACGGTTGGGTATTACCTGCTGTGCACCGGTTGAACAGCGGAGGGACGAGCTGAGGAGTTTCTTGTAGGCGACCGCCAAACAAGCCGAGCGCAGTCGACAAGCCGTTCTGTCGGAGATGAGGGGGATAAATGAATGTTCGATCCATCGAATCGTATTACGGAGGACATACCTGAGGTTCAAGGCCGAGCTCCAAGCGACGAGAAACTGCGAGACGACCTCGATGAGGATCAAAAGACCGGTATGGGCGAAAACGATCATCTCGTCGACGATCAATTGACGCTCTTTGGCGCGCATCGCTTCCCCGTTGATCGTCGCGTTGCTCGCTATGCTCTTGTTGACGAAGCTCAACGCCACGTTGAGATCGTTACGGTCCTCCGTCGCTCGGATGATCTCCCTCAGCACGAGTATCTATTACACACGACACCTCGACTCTTATTTATTTATTTAACGTTTTGTCTTCTTCTCTTCCAGAGGAAGAAAAATATCGAGTCTTACCGGTCCGGCCAGGGAGACCAGGGTACCGGCGAGGTAGATGACGGAGCCAATGAAGACGCGCGTGCGGACAAAGTGCCAGGCCACCCGGGGAATCGACGCACCGGCTTGGCCCTTTTCGACAAAGTGCGCGTGCAAGAGAGCCTCCAATCTGAAGACCGGAAAGGGAGAACGTTGTATTATTTTTTATTTATTTTTGTTTTTTTTTTCCCTATATGATGCAAAGTCACGCGCGTCACCTCGGCCCGTTGACGTTACACGTTTCCCTCTGTGAAAGACTCGGCAGGGCTTTGTCCCTCATCCCACTGGCGTAGCCGGCTTTGAGGTACTCGTTCAGCCAGCCGAAGGACGCGTTGGAGAAAAGACCGATCCTGTCCAGCGGCAGCTCCGAGCCGATCGTTCTGAAAATCGGCACGCATCTCTGTTTTTTTTTTTTTGTTCCCCCTTTTTTTTTTCAGTTGTACATATATTGTATAGTATGTGTGCATATAAATGTATACCTATTGAACCTGACGAGGGCGAGGCTCGACAGGGCGCTGAGGTACCTCGACAGCCTGTTGTGCGGCACGTACGCCGAGCTCGGTTTTTTCATAGCTCTGCCGCTGAAACTCTCCGCGCAACTCAGGCTGCAAATATCCAAGCCACGCACCAGATTCACATCAATTAAGCCTTGCGTGTATGGGTATGTTATTCCGGCGCACGTAATGCCTCCTCATCGTCATCATTTTTTTTTTTTTCACGTTTTACAATGCAAGTAGGTACACCTTTTTTTTTTTTTTTCTTTCCTTCATTCGTCATTGATTAGCTTTTAGGTGTATATCGTTCGGGGAACGCGCGCGGCGTCGACGGTCCCACAATCGAAAGATAAACATCGCGCGCTGTACGTGCATGTACATTTTTATATACACGCGCGCGCGCGAGATAAACTGTCTGGATTGAAAGAAAGAGAAAAAAGAGTATCTGTATATACCCGGGTATTGCCGATTTTTCGTTTTTATTCTAAAATATGTGTGACCATTGTTTCCGTGTGCTATTATATATAAAAAAAAAAAAAAGAACCGGTTCCATCCCGATATTTTCTTGGTGAAACCATCGGTATGTATAGACAAGAATATTAATCAAGTCCCAGGATCGAGACTGAGAATAACATCGAGTAACTGTTATTGTTTGTTTTTTTTTTTTTTTTAATTTTTTTATTTATTTTCGTTCTCAATGACTTTTCAGAAAGTAAAAGAGTAATTAATTGTAACTACTCGTTTCAATAACCAAAACAAAAAGAACTTATGATTTTCTAATAGCATTTTAATAGACAAAAAAAAAAAAAACCTTCACGTAATCCCCAAATCCGGACTCTGTTAATCGTTATTCTTAGTATACATTTAGTAACACTTTTTTTTATTCGCAATAAATGATCAAGTAAATGACATATTGGAATATAAAAAAAAAAAAAAAAAAAACACTCGCTGGTCACCCGGACAAGGACGCACGTATAAATACACACCCGGTGCGACACGATCTACGATATAAGTACCCAATGGGGTAAGAAAAAGGGGGAAAAAAAATTGCTCACTTGGTCCGATCGGACGACCCGTCGGAGCCGGATGGGTTTTGCCGGTTCAGCTGCAGGCTGTTGCTGTTGTTGGACGAACTTGACATTTCGATGATGACGCACGTGTATGCACCGAGGACGCGGCCACATTGGGTGAACTTATATTCTCATCCACCACCAAGACAACTCTATGTGTCACGGGCGCTTTGCGAACATTTTTGGCGCTTTTACGACAATCCAAAAGAAATACATACTACACACTTGTATTGTCTATATACATGTAAAAAAAGCCGGTCTTCCTCTCCCCGTTTAGTTGTTCCTCTCTCCCGGTCTTCCTCCTCTTTTATTTTGAGAACCAAACGAGACGAAAACAAGAAAAAAAAAGAAAAAAAGAAAAATTTGGATACAAAAGGATGCAGGTATACATTTATACACACAGAGCTTTGTATATTGTGTGTATCAGCAATGCGCTCGTTTGCCGGTTATTGTATCTTTGGGGGGGGGGGAGCAAATATTAAAGATAAAGCAAGATTTCGAGAGAAAAAAAAAAAAATGCTGCTCGGATAGGTGTAGATAAGCGTGAGACCCAAAAAAAGCCGCTCCATGTGTACACGGTTTGTACGAAAGATCTGGTCGAAGGAAAAAAATTAAAAAATGTATGTATGGAGTGTGCATACATGTGTGTATCGGGCGAATAAGCCGCAAACCGCGCGATTCCGTACACCGGGAGGAAAAACGATCGAATACCTATGTACTCGTGTGTAAAATAAAAAATAAAAAAAAATAAAAAAAGAGTAAATAAACAAATCGCAGACCCGATGAGCTGTACACGCTCGTTGTCGTCGTTCTAGATTTATTTTAACAAACAACATAATACACGTACATAGTGACAACAAAATAAACACACGTGTATAATACAATCATCTTGGCATCGATCACATATGCACGGCTGATCGAGCGCAATTGGCGACGAGATAAGGAAGAAAAAAAAAAAAAATGGTAAAAATAAAAACTAAAAGTAGCGTGTATACCAATCAAGCGCGCAATAAGTAGACAGAGACGGAGAGAGAGAGAGAGAGAGTCCCCCCATCGGTTATAGTTATAAAAGCGATGATGATATTTTACACATGTACACGTGTATATGCATTATACTTACACGTACGCAATCGTACTCGATCAATATTAAATTGATGATTCGTGCGCTACATATTTACGATTTACCAATCGTTCGCAATGGCACTGCACGCTGGTGCACGTGTACGTATATACACCTATATATATATCTATTTAATCGGTGCTCCGAAACGTGCAGTGTACACTTGAAGGGTTGGACGAAAAAAAAATATAATATGATCGTTATGAATCGCTACCGATCGAGGACGGGTATATTATTATTGTAATACCGATATTGGGCCCATGTGCGAGCATCGGCACTATCACTGTAGTACTGCACACGCGTACACGTTAATTATAATTTAAAAAAAAAAAAAAAAAAAAAAAAAAAAAAAA